TCCAGGCTCCCTGGTGAGGGCCCCTCTCCTCCCTCAGGAGCTCCCAGGCCCAGAGCTGACGGTGTCTGAGGCACTGACCTCCGCGCACGGGGGTTTGGGACGTCCAAGCACACCTTCTGCTTCAGGAACTCACCGGTGCTGTTGGCTGTGGTCGGAGGTTCCACACGGGGAGGGAGAGGATCTGCTGTTTGGAGGAAGTGACTCTCCACGTCCTAAGGTCCATGGTCAGTGAGGGTCTGCCTCCGGGATTTTGTGAACTAACAGGTGCAAAGGGCACAGGGAAGAGGTTCAGACTTAGACTCTTCACTCCAGGCGGCAGGCAGCGTGGCACCTGCCGCGCTCAGGAGACGTGGACATGCAGGGCCACAGGGGCTCCGCCTCCTTCTCCTCTCTGCCGGGACTTGGCTTTGCCCCATAGATGGTCCCGGGTTAGCAGGCAGACTGCCTGTAGGCCGCCACCACCACCGGGCTGGGCTGGACCGCGGTTCTGCCCGGCGGTTCTGGCGGCGAGGGACTTCCCCGGGGGTGTGGTGCCCCCGTGGCTCAGGTGTCCGCGCAGAGTGTTTATTCACTCTTCATATGGGAAGTTCTGTCCGCGCCGACCGCTGTCCGGGTGACTGTGTCTGTGGTGCATATTCCTTCGGGGTGGGGTTGGTGCCGCTCTGTAGCCGAGCGTATCCCTGGAAACGTGTGCATTTGGAGCTGAGGGAGCTGTCTTTCCTCTCTGTCCGGGGGCTCTATCTCCCTGACTTCCTCTGCGCCTTCTGCCTTCCCAGGAGGTCCCAGGGGCAGGGGAGGGGCTGGCCTGAGCGGGGGCTCCAGGCATGGCTCCTGGGGGCGCCGGCCGCTCGCTCTCCCCAGCATCTGCAGGAAGGGGCCCGTCTGGGTGCCGCATCTGTGCCTTCGGAACAGGGAGGGTTCCAACGCCTGGGAGGGGTCCCGGGTCACAGTCACTGCCTCAGAGGATCGGCAGCGGCCTTCAGCCTGAGCCCACTGGTCACTCTGGCCTTGCTCGCGCTGACTTCCCCAACCCACAGCGAGGCCACGCTTTACCTGCATGAGAACCGCCCAGCTTCGTTAGCAGGTGCCAACAACTGAACGGCCGGCACCTCACACATCACATCAAACCAACTCCCTCACAATTAGCATTCCCGCCTCACTGGAGGGAGACAGTCCGTCGGGGAGGCTGCAGCCTCCGGAGAAATCCTGACCCCAGGACCACGGCTCGTGCGCCCAGCCCGCGGCCCACTGGCCCTTTGGGCTCCTCCTGGTTCTGGGGCAGCAGCAGCCTCAGGGCTGCCCGAGAGGCCCCTGGTCTCCCTGGGACCCCCAGGAACGCCACTCTCTTTGTCCCTAGAGGCTGCGACCTCCTCACTCAGACAGCCCGAGTGAGGTTTCTGGGACCCCAAGTCCCCAGGCGGGCGGTGGAGGGCCCAGCAAAGCCCTCTCTGGCACGGACTTTCTCTGCTCCCTGCCGAGTGCCCTAACAGAGGCCCCACAACTCTGTCCACTCACCGTGGTGTTGCCAGTGCCTTTGCTAAGCTCCCTCCACCCATCGCCCCCTCCGCCATCTCCTGGCTCTCCTGCACCAGAAGGAAGGTTCCCCTCAGTGCTGCTCCTCGAAGCCCCGCCAGCAGCAGCCAGGGACTCACCCCATCCTGGCTGTCGCCTTCCCGGGCCCTGAGCTTCCGGGAGCTGCCCAGTGAGTGAGCGTGTGATCACTGTGGCCCAGACTGAGCACCCGCCTGCGGCACTGCCCCTGCACCCTCCAGGGCTCCCAGCAGCCCGGGGGATGGGCTCTCCTAGCTCCTGGGTGACTGTCAGAGGCGCTCCCGCCCCGTGGGCCAGGGGCAGGCACTTTGCACAGAGAGACCCTGTGAAAGCACCCAGAGGCGCTCGAGGCGGCCCTTTGTGTGACATGGGTCCTTTCGGTTGGACGGCCCAGGTGTGATTAGAACAGGGTGAGAGAGGTTTTCTCCCATGGAGAGGAAGGCGGTGGCTCAAGACCAGAGCTGACCTGACACAGGGCTGGGCTCCCCTGGAGAAGGTGGCCAGGCAGGGCCTGGGCTGCGAGGACCCTGGCAGCCAGAGGGTCTGGGGTCTGAGGTGCCTCCCCCACTGGAACATGCCTTCCCCCAGGAACCCAGCCAGGTGGGCCCAGTGGGTGGGTGGTGGGTGGGCTGTGGGTGGACCCAGGCTGCTCCCCTGCAAAGAGACCCCCTCCGGGTGGGTTCTGTGTCCTGCCAGCCCAGAGGCCTGTATGCAGAGCCCTGCTGACATGCCGTCACTCAGAACCGACCCAGGAAGGACTTGGGTCAGACCAGCTCTGCTCTGGGGCTGGTTGGAGTCTCGATCACCTCGGTGTCCGGGCAGCTGCTGAGGAGGCTGGAGAAGTTGTCTGTGGTGTGTGCTGGTGGCCCGTTCACTCACGGCATCACTCACCCGTCAGTGGGGCCATCGAGGGGCTCCGGGCCAGCAGTGGGGATGTGGTGCCTGCACTGAGGCTTCTGGGGTCCCTGCTCTGGGAGCCACGCGCTCCTGGATGGGAGGTGGACCAGGGAGCCACTAGGTTTCCCCTTCACTGGTGGCCTTCACGCCACGGTGGGCCCTTCCCTGTCCTCCTGGGGCCCTGCTTCTTTTGGCTTCAGGGGCCGAGTCGGATTTCGGCCTCTCCCACACGGAGTTCCCGGGGGCTGTAGTGGGAGCAGAGCACCCAGGGGTGGTTCCTGGGTGTCTCTGGGAGACAAGCACCGAGATGCATCCCTGTGTGCACGACCGGGCTCCAGGGGCAGGTGCTCTGACCCAGCGGTTCTCAACCTGTGGGTTGCGACCCTTTGGGGGTCTAAAGACCCTTTCACAGGGGTCGCCTGAGACCATTGGAAAACACATATATAATTACATTTTTGTGATTAATCACTATGCTTTAATTATGTTCAATTTGTAACAATGAAATTGGGGGTCACCACAACATGAGGAACTGTATTAAAGGGTCGCGGCATTAGGAAGGTTGAGAACCACTGCTCTGACCCGTCTGCTCCGCGTCCCGTCTGCCAGGACGAGGGGAGCCCCTGATGCTGGGCTCTCTGTGCTCACCCCAGGGCGGGTCCAGGCAGACTGCGACCCTGGTCACCCTCCCCCGGTGCCCCTACCCCTGAGCGCTGGCCCCAGGGGTTTGTGAGCCAGGCCTCACACCGTGCTGTGAGCTGAGGAAGGTGGGACAGTGTGAGCTCTGCAGTTTCCCTTTCTGTCCCTTTTCCAGGGCACGTGTCCCCTGTGTCAGCGTGGCCAGCCCAGCAGCCAGGCCCCCTGTGGACCCTGCCATCGGGCCTGGCTGAGGGAAAGAGCTTATCAGCCTTTAACGTGTCAGCCTCAGTGCACGGCCTCAGTGCACGGTCCCCCCAGCACGTTGCATCTCCGACGGCCGGAGCAGGGCCCGCCCTCTGTCCCTCATGAGGATGCTGCTGCTGGAGCACAGGCCTCGCTCCCTCGTGTGCCAGGGGCAGTGTCCCTGCCCCTAGGCTGGTCCCACCCCAGGTACCCGGGACGGGCCCCCCCCCCCCCATGGG